AATTTCACGCCGCCTCCGCATAGCAAATGGTTTTATGAGAACTTTTTCTAAGGCAGAAATACACTCGGAGGTTTGTATTGCCTGACGAGGAGGGGTCGCTGTTAGAAATCAGTTTTTCTAATTTATCTTTTTTTTTATTTATCTTATCAATTTCTAATGTACATAATATAATCAATGCTTGCAGTGTTACACGTCGTTTATCAACTCATACATTAATTTCAGAACTTAATTTTTTGTGCTATATACTAGTCATATAAAAAACACTTTTTTTGCGGCATCGACATTTACTTTAATTAAGTGAATCAGTTAAAGAGGAGTAATGGATACCAGTGGCATTGTTCCAGACATCATTGATGTTATACCTAAGGCACGACTGGAGGTGATACATGGTTTTTCATATGCATTTACCAAATAATATACATACATATATGTATATTTATCACATAAGAATGAGTCATTACATTTCAGGTCAGTTATCCAAGCGGTGCAAAGGTAGAGCTGGGCAAAGAAATCACTCCAATTGAGGTGAAGGACGAACCTACAGTTACTTGGGAAGCAGATAATGATGCTCTATATACTTTGATAATGGTCGATCCAGACGCACCATCGCGTGCTGAGCCCACATTCCGTGAAATTCTTCATTGGCTTGTAGTTAATATTCCAGGAAATAAAGTAACGCAAGGTGAAACTATTGCTGCTTATATAGGCTCTACACCTCCACAGGGAACTGGACTGCATCGCTACATTTTTCTGGTCTTTAAGCAGGCGGGAAAGATTGATGCTACGAACATTACTCCAAAGATGTAAGTTTAATTTAAAGGAGCATATGATCTCTCATAAGCGTTCAAAAATTTTCGCAAATGTGCAGATTATTAATAACCTAAGTATTTTTTTGTTGTTTTTTTTAGTACAATACGCGAAAGCCGCCGCAACGCAAATACTAGGCAATTCATGGCCAAATACAATTTAGGGGAACCAATCGCTGGAAATTTCTATCAGGCACAATACGATGACTACGTAGA